ACCCATTCTCCATATAATAATAATAATAGATCCAACCCAATAAAACCACTCCTACTGCTAGATCATTGTCCAGCCCACTGTTGGGTCACAACTTTCGTTGTGATTTTATTCTAGGACTTTTTTGGGAGGGAGCGGATCCTCTTTTCTGTTGATCTGCCCTTGATGCAGTAGATCACTTATTTATATATTTTGGATTTCTGGGCACCGTGACTTGATTATTTGGGAGCTTTTTGGACCTTCCCTATTTGTCGCTACTGTTCGACTGAAGGTATATTGTTCTCCCTTATTTTATTCCTCTATTTATCTTAGAGTTATTTTTCTGTCACGGGTGCCCTAGTATTGTTGTTGATATGACTACTACTGAGGGACTTGAGAACCCTACTGTTGACACCTCTACCGTTGAGACAATCTATAATGAATTTTGATTGTGAATTGAGTTGAGTTTACTCCTCTTGTTCTTGATTGAACTTTTGAACTTATCAAAGGTAAATCACATCCTTTGTGGCGTTCTTGCTTGTAATTTGGGTTCTTCAGACGGGTCTAGATTTTAATATAATCTAGGTTCTTGGAACGAGATCTCAACGGGTCTAGTTGCATTACCAGCATTACCGGGCATGATCTCTCAAAAAGTTACGGCACAATTGTTGAATGGTCGTAACTTCGCTGAGTGGTCACGCTTATTCCAGCTTTTCTTAGGCAATGTAAGGAAGCTTGGTTGGCTGACGGGATCTCACCCAAAGCCAGCTGATGCCGACCCTGGATATTCTGCATGGTTCTCTGAAAACTGTGTCATTCTTGGATGGTTATTTGGCTCAATGGAGCCCTCTGTTTGCAAGATCCACCAGTTTCATAGCTCTGTTCCGAAGCTATGGAGCGCATTATCAGAGATGTATTCTCAGTCAGGACGAGGAGTTCGTGTTTATGAGCTTTCTCAGGAGCTCTCATATGCTCGGCAGGGAGATATGACCGTTCAGGATCCTTAGTCAGGGATAGGCAACGCTCAGACCAGCGCCGTCAGGGCGCCCCAGATCAGCACAGACGGGGGGATTCCCGTCAATGTGATTATTGTGGCCGACCAGGACATCTCAGGGCTACTTGCTGGAAGCTCCATCAAGAGCTTAAGCCACCTTCTCGCAGTCGTACTGTTGCTATTGCTGAGGTACCACCGCCCACTGCCGCCACTCCTGCTACTGCTCCTCCTTGGCAAAGTGATATGGATGCTATCACTTCCCGATTAGATATACTTATGTCTGCTCTGACTTCTCAGAGTCTGACTACTGCTGCTGTCACCACTACAGGTTCAGTTAGCAGATGGAACACATGCCCCTATTGTTAGTAGGGGTACAGTCCGTCTCCCAGATGGCCTTATATTACATTCGATTTTTCATGCGCCAAAGTTGTTCACCAGGTCAAGATAGACCTTGGGAAGGCCTTCGATGTGAAGGATCTCAGACCGGTTCTCTAGCCTGTTATTCAGATTCAGATTATGGGGGAGCATGTGATGGTCGATCTACTACGGGTTTTTGTGCTTTTCGAGGGACTCATCTTATCTCTTGGAAGAGCAAGAAGCAGGCAGTTGTCTCCCGCTCATCCGCAGAGGCAGAGTATCGGGCATTGGCACTTGGCACATGTGAGATTATCTGGCTACGATCGATTCTTGACGAGTTGGGTTTTTCAGTGACCTCTCCATCCACATTATATTGTGATAATCAATCTGCTATTCAGCTCGCTTCTGACTCTGTACTACATGAGAGAACGAAGCATATAGAGATCGATGTTCACTTTCTTCGGGAGAAGGTCAGCAGTGGTCTTGTTACTCCATCGTTTGTGGGGACCAGTGATCAAGTTGCGGATGTTTTTACCAAACCTGTCACTCTGTCTATTCTTCGGGACTCCGTTGTCAAGCTTGGCTTAGTTGACATTTTTGCGCCTAACTTGAGGGGGAGTGTTGGAGTATAGATAGTCTAGGTTTATTAGGATTTCTTTTCCTAGGTTTATTAGGATTTATTTTCCCTTTTTTACCTTTACTATGATTTTTATATTTTGCCTATATATACGGGGTTTTACTCTTAATTTGAGTATCTCCTTTTACTCACAATTATTTCAAGTCTAACCAAATTGGAAATTCAAATGCAGAAATTTTCAGCATATAAAATTCTAATAACCAAGAATAGCAAATATAAAACCGACAACCAAACACTCCTAATGCATAAAATTGCTAATGACACGGGTGCAGGTAACTTTATTTTCCTATTTGCTGCTCCTGCATCAGAGAATATGGAACTTTCTCATAGATCGATCACATTGACTTTGTCGATAAAGATACCCTGAACAATTGATGAAAGATAGCCAATGTAGTCCTCTCCAGCAAATGATGGTAATATTTTCTACCCCTCATATATGTAGATTGATCACGTCATGGGAAGATAGGAATAAATGACGCACATTCAATTTGCTTGAACAAGGACGATAACATGCAAAATATCCACAAAATTAATTCAGAAAAGGAAAATGGTATAATAGATGTATCCTAAAGCCAATATTCTAGAAGATTATACCATTTTGAAATGAAAGAGACCGAACTTTTATCATAGCTCTTACCTTCACAAATGTATTCACCGCAAGGATGGCAAGGTCTGGTTGGCTTTTAGCATAATTAATAAGATACAAAAAGACAAGCTTCTTGAGTTCTAAGTTTTCTGTTTGCATGCAATTCACAACATCTGTGAAAAGCGATGAACCATCCTGCCCAACAGTCATGGCAGCAATCACTTTTTTAACAGCATCTTTTCTCTTATCCTGCATGACAAATAAAAAGAATAGAGTAGATGTGATGAATATCGTTAGCCACAAAAGACTATGGAGCATAACAATCTTAATGAACTATGCACTTGAGGCCATCGTTTTGAAATGTTGCCCTTTTGCAATTTGTCAATAATCTGTGCAATCATTCGAAAAGGGAAATATAAGCACATACTGTTCAAACACTAAATCAACATTAAGTATCTCCATGCTTATGACGGCCACAATATTTGTGTCTACACATGAAAAAAATTGTTGAAACCAGTACAAGGGTCCATGTGAAAAACTTTTTACAATAGACATAGTAAACTCCATCATAAACCCCAACATCCATAAAACCACATATGAACACCATACCAATGACGATCAAGTTACACTAAACAATTTACATTGGTTGCTGAGTAAGTGCAAGAAAATCAAATTATAACACATTTCATTGTTCACTTTAGCGTGAACAGATGTAAGACGCAATTCAATGAAAGCAAGCATGCGGCCATATAATTGTAAATCAAAGAAAACATTCGATAGATCTATCTGATCATCACTTCACTTGTCTCGATCGGAAACACGATACAAGTCACATCAAAAGCATTATCGCAGCCGATCAAATTATACAGATAGTAAAATGCGGTGAATTTTAGCCACAAAACGCGTACACAAATATGAATGTAGAGAGACGGGGGAGAGATGGGACCTTGTACTGAGAATTGAGTGCTTCTTTGAGCTCAGGGATTTCGCCATTTTTTCTAGTGGAGAAGTACTTGGAGTCGTGTCCGCTCATCTCTGTAGTTTCCTTTCGTCTCTCTCTCCGAATCGACGGAGTGGAAATGGCGATTGCCAACGCCGGTCTGAAGTGTGTTTCGCCAATTAAAATCTAGTGTGGCCTGAACCCCAAACCACCTGCCACCGTCAGACCGGTTCTGGAGGAAAGGGTATTTTAGGGGTTTTATTTTAAAATTGGGCAAATGACACTTGACATCCGATATATCTTTTCATTCTCAATTTACATCCTAAAATATAAGATTCCTATAGTAGTAAAAATGTATTTAGTACTAAATTTTCCATTAAAAATATTGAGTTTTATTCAAGTAATTGTGTATAAAAATTAATTTAATATTAGAGTTAAGAAGTTGAATTCTTAGTTTATGAAAATATAATAATAGTCAAAATTGATTAAAATTTTATCTACTTTTATCAAATGACACAAAATTCATTCCACAAAAATTTATCACTAAAAACCATCATATTCTATGCCACGCCCCAATATCATACAACTTAATTAACAAACTCTTCAATGTTGTATAACCCACTAATTTACACCCATGTCTCTATTATTCTCTCCACTACATCTCTTATTTTCTTATTGTGCACCTTGATTTTAACTTGAATAAGTAAATAAAATAAAATAATATTATTATTTAAAATATACAAATATTAAATGATTATTACTTAATTTTTTGTATTACAAAATATTTTTAGGCACGAGATTATTGCTAGTCAAATAATATGACAAATAAAATAAATTTTTTTGTTAGATTGTCAACAATATTTATTTGGAGCACAATGTAATATTTTTATTTGATTGACAATATAAAATAAAAGGAAAACACTATGGTATCAAAAAGTAAAATTTTGATACCTTACTCAAAAGGTAATAAAAAAAATTTCAAAAAATTATAAAACTCTACCCAAAAAGATAGTAAGGTTCACCTAAAAAGGTGGTACAGATGATACCCAAAAAACAAATAGTAAGTGAAATGATACTGAAAAGTAATGTTATTGAGATTTAATTTATTGACTTAATTTGTTGACCTAATTCACTATGACATTTAGATTAACTGTAACACCTATCAAATATTGAAACTTGGTGTTGATCCAATTATTTTACTGAACCACATCATTATGTCAACAAATTTGGTAAGAGTTTGAAGTTCAAATAGTATTACTCGGTACTGAAATGCTTAATGCTAGAATTTTAATTTTTTAGAGTGTAAATTAAAATTTTGATATTTAGTTAGGGTACAAAGTGTCATTAAAAAAATCAAATCAACGTATTTATCCAAAAAAATGGGGTAGAAAATGTGAATTATCAAAAACATTGGGCAATTACAGCATTTTACATTCTTTACCGACTCGGGTTCGTTTTCATCCCTCTGATAAATACATCAACGCCCCCACTTTCTCCTCCGTAATCTGTACACTCGGAAGTCTCATACAGAGCACCGAAAGGACATATTTTCTTGTACCGTTCTGATCGTCATCAAATCCCAAATACCGGAATAATGGGCCACGGTATGAAATCTATCTAATTTATGCAATCGTCACCTTATATTATGTGATGTAAACGAGTTCATATTCAGGTAAAATTATACAGTAATTTGCCATTTATATGAACGCAGCCTGTGATTTTCAGGTGATAAAGGCCGACATAGCAAGAAACCTAAATTTTCTTCCAAGGTTCTCCTACTTTTTTTCTTTTTTGTTGTTGGTTTTTTTTTTTCTGATAATATTTGACTGAATTATTCATCTTCATTGCGATTTTATGTAGGAGAATCAAAGAGCTTCAGCTGTTGAAGACGAAGATGCATACTATGCTGCAGATTTTGAAGACGACTATCGCGATGGTATATACATCTATCAAGTGTATATATATTTGCTTGCAAGTTTTTGATTATAATTAATTTTTTCAATTGATTTGGTTGCATTGAGTAGATGAAATACTGTAATTAATGTAAGATGATAAAGAAGGGAAAACGATTGTTATATTTTGATTTTCATCTGATTTGGGTGGATTGTGTGAATGAAATATTGTTATTAATTTAAGGTGATAGAGAAGGAAAAAAGAGAGATTTCACCAAATTGGAACTTAAACCCGATCACGACAATCGGCCATTATGGGCTTGCGCTGATGGCCGAATATTCCTTGAGACCTTCTCTCCTCTCTACAAGCAAGCTTATGATTTTCTTATTGCCATAGCTGAGCCTGTTTGCAGGTACCATTTCATACTATCCAAATACACTCACATGGGTATATGTTTGTGTATAAGTTCATATTTTTGTTATGGGATTTTGTTCTTTATATGTATGAATTTTGATTTATAGGCCGGAGTCGATGCACGAATACAACCTTACCCCTCACTCATTGTATGCGGCCGTGTCAGTGGGTCTTGAAACTGAGACCATTGTAGCTGTTTTAAATAAATTGTCAAAGACCAAGCTTCCCAAAGAGATGATTGATTTCATACATGCGTCTACTGCCAATTATGGCAAAGTGAAGCTTGTACTTAAGAAGAATCGGTACTTGATCGAATCCCCATTTCCTGAGGCAAGATAGTTTGACCTTTTCTGTTTTTCATAGATAGAAATGGAGAGGAAAATTGGGTTGCTAGCCCTTGATACTGATGGTCATCTGCAGGTATTGAAGAGGTTGCTTAAGGACGAGGTTATATCCCGAGCAAGGATTTCCACTGAGGTTTGTCATTATTGTCATTAGTATATGTGTTTATGATCGGAGTGTTTATATATATGCCATCCTGTTGTGTGTCTGTGCAAGTGTGTGCTTTCTTTTGTGTGTTCTGAATTCTTATGGAGACTAGAGTGTCTTGTGAGTTCCCCGGAATTAAATTGACATACTGATGTGAAGTTTTGGGTTATTTGGCAATGGACTCTGACAGTCAACCTCAAAAAGAATGCTTTTATGCTGTAAATTGCCAAGCATTTCTCACCAAACATCTTAATCTAGTAACTTTTACTGTATTTTTTTTTTTTGGGGGGGGGGAGACATGTTTATTTTATTTTATTATTATTATTTAAAAAAATGTATTTCTAATTTTTTCGTTGTAATTGACTTTAGGTTTATATGTACATCTTTGGTGTTTAGGGGGTGCAGGGAAGTGATGGATTCACGGTGGGAAAATCAGTGGGTGAAATAGAAGGTCGCCATGACGAGTTGCTAAATGAAGCAGGATTGGCAGCTGCAGCCGAAGAAAAAGAAACTCATTCATTTGAAATTTACCCTGCTCAGGTGGCTCAATGTGATTAGGTCAAAGACTCAAAATCTGGGTTCTTCACGCTTTCAGTGGTTAGCTTTTTTGTTTATTAAATTTGAATTGACAGGTTGAAAATGTAAAGCAACGTTGCCTGCCTAATGCTTTAAATTATCCCATGTTGGAGGAGTATGACTTCAGAAATGATACTGTGAGCTCTCTCTCTCTCTCTCTCTCTCTCTATCTCTCTCCCAACCACCCCCGGGGCATGGTAGGATTGGGAAGTTTAATGATGAGCAATCTTGACTGAAGGAACAAGTTTGTCACTACTACAAATGATTACATCAAAGTTTGGAAAATTATTGCCTTAATGCTGTTTGATTTATGCCCATTGGACACTGTAGGTCAATCCTGACCTTGACATGGAGTTGAAGCCTCAAGCACAACCACGCCCTTATCAAGAGAAGAGTCTCAGTAAGATGTTTGGAAACGGTAAGTTGATATGTATCTAGATGATCTATTCTTAGTTGAGTGTGTACATAACTAAGCATCAATTGTTTAATATGAATGATCATGTTTCTCTGCAACAATGCTTGTATATTATAGTGAACATCTGTGAACCTGATAATTTAAGTCACTCTAATTCCAGTGAACTTACTTCTAATTGGAACTGGTTTTCCATTTCTTTTTTCAACCAAACATGAACACTAAAAGTTCCAAAGGAGGTGCAGGACACAGCACATGTACGTGCAGAGTATGCTGTTGCAGAAAAATTAATTTCTTGCCAAAGCATATAGGCACCTATCTCTGCACACTAATTGGACAATGAAAAACAAAGTTTGGGATAGATAAGAGTAAGGGAGTGAAGCTTTGACATCATTATATACCTGCCTTTCTGCTCCTTTGAACATACCCCGGAAGATAGAAAGGGTCCTGCCTAAAACTGATGCTGGTACAATCCTCTTGCAGCAGCCAGCCCTCCAACTGATCTTCATGCAACCCAAAATCCTGGACAGGGACAACAAGAGGCACCACAGCTTGATAGGGTTGGGTAGTGAAGCTTAGCCATTTTTCTCGGAACATTTGAATCTAAGAAAATCGATTTCGGAGGATTTTCTTTCTACAATAATGCTTAAAAGGACTTGTAGTTAAGCTTAGGCAAAGTTGAAATGAGCATATACAAAAATTGAAACTATAATCTATACTAATTCATGGGCTTAGGCTTAGGGTTTAGGATTATGTATTCCCTGTTCCGCTTACCTGTGGATTGCAGAAACATCATTTTTCTAGTTAGAGTTTCAACTGAAGAGATCTTTTGAGAACGAGGAGTTTGTTTTCATCTCTGCAGCTATCTTGATGTTTGCTGATGGTAATAATTATAATATAGGAATAACAACTGTACTAGTAATTATTATTATTACTACTTTGCATTGTAATGTGCTCAATTTTGTGCAAATTACATATTTGCTGATCATGCTAATTTTTAGACATCTATATGTTTTGAAACCATTCTCTTGCTTTCATACTGATGACTTTTATGCAAATATTTTTTGTTGTATAAATATTTTTTTCACAATTTTGTGAAGGACTTGATGTTTATGAGCTCTTAATTTTTTTTTTTTGACATTGCAGGCAGAGCAAGATCTGGTATTATTGTGTTACCATGTGGTGCGGGAAAGTCTTTAGTGGGTGTTTCTGCTGCCAGCAGGATACGGAAAAGCTGCCTATGTTTGGCAACGAATGCTGTATCTGTGGATCAGTGGGCTTTTCAGTTCAAATTGTGGTCAACCATTCGAGATGATCAGATATGTCGTTTCACCTCTGATAGCAAAGAAAGATTCCGTGGTAATGCTGGGGTGGTTGTGACCACATATAACATGGTCGCTTTTGGTGGTAAGCGTTCTGAAGAATCTGAAAAGATTATTGAAGAAATAAGAAATAGAGAATGGGGATTACTTCTCATGGATGAGGTAAATACATTTACAAACATTTTGACATGGATTTGAAACTTTATGGGCATCATTGGATATTGTATGTTCCTTTTTTCTTATTTATTGATCTTCACTCAGGTTCATGTGGTTCCTGCTCACATGTTTCGAAAGGTCATCAGCATTACTAAATCTCACTGCAAACTCGGGCTTACTGGTATGTAATGTATTACCATTATGCATATCAACCAATTTACTTGACCCATATTTACTGAAAACCAAAAACTATTTGACTTGTTAAATTGCAGCAACACTTGTGAGAGAGGACGAAAGGATAACAGATTTGAACTTCCTTATTGGTCCCAAATTATACGAGGCAAATTGGTTGGATTTAGTGAAAGGTGGATTTATTGCAAACGTACAGTGCGCTGAGGTGTGGTGTCCTATGACGAAGGAGTTCTTTGCTGAATATCTGAAGAAAGAAAATTCTAGGAAGAAGCAGGTCTGCCGGTTTTAAATGTTTTTTGGTGGTCCATGTTTTAAATGTTATAAGTTCAGGAAAGTTATTTCAGTAACTCCCCGATTGTACTGGTAGGATAGAATGGATTTCATTCTTTTGATAATACTCAATTTTTCTTGAAACCGTCATCATGTAGAGATGAGTCAAGGCAATCTTAAAAACTCCAGGATTGAAGTAGGGTAAGCACTAGAGTCTGCACATCTTTCTGACGGAGAAGGTAGCCTAGTAAATTTGTTAGAATCTCCTACTAGAGTCTAGAAATCAAACCAAATAAATAAATTTGGGCTGCCTCCTTGTATGCTGGACTGCCCATAGCTGTATATTTTTGTTTAATAATATAATTTCACTAAATGCAAAAGAAATGAATATACTGCCTTCATTTATACAAACTTGTGGGTGGCTGTTATTTTTCAATTGCATGAATGCTTTACACCAAGCTATAGGATGCTTTTCTCTGCAAGAAGAAATTTTACCTTAATGAATAGTCAACTGAATTTATAGTTTTTTCATAATGTAAGTTGTACTCCATAGTTTCTTGTCTTCCCGCACACTGATAACCCCATTTTATTTTTCAGGCACTTTATGTGATGAACCCAAATAAATTTCGGGCCTGCGAGTTTCTTATCCGATTTCATGAACAGCAACGTGGTGATAAGATAATTGTTTTTGCTGACAATCTGTTTGCACTGACAGAGTATGCAATGAAGCTTCGGAAACCTATGATATATGGTGCTACCAGGTTTTGTGGGTGTTTGTTTTTTTAAGGGATTATCTTTTACTTGTCCTATATCACATCTGCAAACATGTAATGGTTTCTCCAATGTGCAGTCATGTTGAAAGGACAAAAATTCTTGATGCCTTCAAAACTAGTCGGGAAGTGAACACTGTTTTCCTCTCAAAGGTTCTTTGCACCAATGATCATTTAATCATTTAGCTAGCCAGTAGCTTTGTATAATTAGGGTTTTATTTTTGTGAGGCCTTTATTTATGGGTTTATGTTATCTTCTATTCTTTACAACTAATTTAATTTGATACATCACAATGGCCTTAATAATCTCCCTTGTTTTAGCTAGCAAATAAGTTATGTGATGCGTGGTCACTCTTTAGGGTTAACGTGATGTGCATGCATGTTCTTTTTAACAGAATTTTGCATGGGAACTTTTTATTTGTTTGTGTTTTAATCGATTCTCAGGCAACACAGAGAACTGAATCTTGATTGCTACCAATGATTATAGGAATATCCTATGTTTCCATATTGTTGAATGTATTTTACAGACTATACACTGAAATGTATGGACTCCTGTTCGATGATAGTGATGTTGTTGCTTCTGTTATTCACAGGTGGGTGATAATTCTATAGATATTCCTGAGGCAAATGTAATTATTCAAATTTCATCACATGCGGGTTCAAGACGTCAAGAAGCTCAACGACTTGGGCGCATTCTCAGGGCAAAGGTGTGTGATCTTGAAGTATTATATGTATAATAGGCCATCCTACCTCAGTCATTCGTGTGATAGTATTATGAGAAATGCCAATGTGGAATGGAATTCATGATAGATACTTCATTTGGAGTTGTTCTTAATGAGAGTATTTTTGTCTTTTTTATAACGTGAAGGAATTAGCTTAGGTGCTTTGTAATTGTTTTTGTGCGCACCATGTATATTTACCATTGGTACAAAGCCACCTGATGAGATTCTTTTGTTCATAATATAACAATTGTTGTTTTTTTGTCTTGATTTTGTTGTTTGGTTGACAGGGTCGGCTTCAGGATAGGATGGCAGGAGGTAAAGAGGAGTACAATGCATTTTTCTACTCCCTTGTGTCTACAGATACCCAGGTGCTTGCCAACTTCAGTTGAAATTAGTATCTCCGGTGAATGTTGGGAATCAACACATATAAGTTGTCAGCAATGCACAATATTCTTTTTTGCTAAATTGCTACTGTTGGATGTAGGAAATGTACTACTCAACTAAAAGGCAACAGTTTTTGATTGATCAAGGTTATAGCTTCAAGGTAAAGCTTTCCATTATGTCATTGAATTTTGTGTGTTTACATGCTTACCAGTTTCCTTAGTACCTGTGAGGATGTCATGTATTGTCTATATCCTTCTGGACTCTTCTGGACCATGGTATTTCTGTTACTCTGTAAGATGTGGACTGCCATTCCTAGAGTATTTGTCTTCTGATTGATGAAGGTTTATCTGTGATGTGATTTGTTACTAGCTCAGTCATCACTTGGTTAACTGGTCCTACTTAATGTATTACTAATTTAACCGTTTCACAGGTAATTACGAGCCTGCCTCCGCCTGATACTGGACCTGAGTTGAACTATTATCATCTTGATGATCAACTTGCACTTCTTGGAAAGGTTTTCTCGCTTGCTTCTCATTTGGCTTGAGACATGATTGTCTCACTAAATCTACTGATACTATTTTCCTTGCTTTCATTATAGGTGTTAAGTGCAGGTGATGATGCAGTTGGTTTGGAGCAATTAGAAGAAGATGCAGATGATATTGCCCTTCAGAAAGCCCGTCGCTCTGCGGGATCTATGAGTTACATGTCAGGAGCTAATGGGATGGTTTACATGGAATACAAGTATGCTTACTTCCCTTTTGTTGCCTCCATAGAATTTGTATTTATATTTTTCTCTATATAATGAATGGCAAGCTATACTTTGTTTCTGGGTCGTTCATTATCTTGCTTTTTCTACAAGGTTTCTGCACTATTTGATTTCCTTTTTCCACCCCATTTTATGGTTTGTCTGCATAGAATTATGGTTCTTTTGAGTTTTCTTGCTAAAATGTTTTGTCTGTTTGCATAGAAATGTGGTTCAGATTTTTTTTTGTCAGAATGGTTCTTTAGTGTTGCAGACTGAAATTCACAGCATTTTTACCAATTTCCAGTCATTTTGCATAGAAAATTTTGTTCTTTAGACTTGAAGACTCCTTAACGGTTCAAATGCTTGAGAACTAGAAAATCTGGAATTTCTGTGCATTTTTCAAATGTGCGTGGTTTTCAGACTTCTATTGAGTGAAAATTAGCCATCTTTTGTTTAAGTACGTTAAGTTACTGGCAATTTTTTAGCTCTACAAACTGGAAA